AGACACGATGGTTTAAATTGAGTCACTGAAACAGAGTAACTAATCGATAAGTCTACGTGTTTGGTCTGATTGGTCAAGTGAATTGGCGTGACTGCCATTGTTAGTCGCGTTGATCTCAGGCCAAGGCAAGGCTAAAGTGTGGACGAGCTTTTTCTGTGCACATAGGTCCGGGTTATGGAGCCGAATTGCGATCGCCTCTGCTGTCGACAGCAGGCGACATCTGACTGCCCGTGTGAAACGTCCAGGGACACAGTAAATCGGTGTGAATGCGTCACGCGAATCGATTTGATGGTCGGAGTCAACTAGGTGCGACAACACTGCACTCGTTATATTCTTCCTCACGCCGCTGTAGAGCCAAGCTGGGCAATGCTCTCGAGCCCTAACGGACAGTCGCCTGGTCGTTTTCCCGATATATCTTGCTCGACACGAGCAAGAGAAATTGTACACACAAAAGGAGGTCTGCGACCGAGGTATCCTGTCTTTAAGTTGTTGGCACACGAGCGGTGTTGAAGTGAAGCTTACGCGGAGATTAGCGGCAAAATACGTTCTTTCTGTTGCTAAGGAAAGTCTTCGGGTGGTCCGTTCCGCTATCGCGTCACCCTTAAATGGCAACGATAAGTATACCATCCGCTTCTCCACTGAAACGGGTTTGGGCTTTTGTACTCGTGGTTCCATGTGCCTCTGGATGAATTTCTCAGGGTACCCATTGCGCTCGAGTACGTTTCGTATAAAACTCAGCTCATCTGAAAGCGTATCATCTGTACATATTCTCCTCGCTCTCTCCGTTAGGCAACGGACGAGGTTCCTTTTTTGACTTATCGGAACAAAGCTAGCGAAATGGATGTACTGCCCATTCCAGGTTGCTTTTCTGTGCACCCTCCTTCGCATTGACCCATCTGATGCCCTTTTGATTTGGACATCTAAAAATGCCAACGTGTCGTTACGTTCTAGCTCGATAGTGAAAGTTATATTGCTATGTGCAGTGTTAAACTGGGCCAATAGGTCATCGACGCACATTCCATTATTCGCGATACAAAATATGTCGTCTACGTATCGACCGTAATAAACCAAGCTGTTGATGGATTCGTTCAGCTGGTTGCACTCCAATTTGCTCATGAAGACGTCCGCGAGCAACGGTCCTAATGGTGAACCCATTGCCACCCCGTCTATTTGTCGATATAGCGTTCCATTAAACTGAAACTGAATGTTTCGTGTGCACATGAGTAGCAGTTGTCTCAGCCGGTCTAGTGGGATACCAACATTGATGTTGCGCAGCAGGATGAACTCGCACAGATAATCTACGGTCTCCTCCAAGGGAACATTGGTAAAAAGAGACACCACATCTAAGGAGAACATCTGTCGCCCAGCTAGCTCAATTTGTCTCACTGAGTCAAGAAAATCGAAGGTATCTTTGAGACTGTATCTAGCTATGGCTTTCCTGACTGGTTCCAACCGTTTGACGAGCCACTTGGCAGTTGAATGGTACGGTGAGTTACACATATCCAGTATCGGCCTTAGTGGTAGCCCTTCCTTGTGTACTTTGGGCAGGCCATACAATCTTGGAATTACTGTCCCACTCGGTCTGGTGTATTCAAATATATCTGAGTCGATTACATTCTCCTGCTTTAAGCAACGCAGGAGTTTCGTTATGGATCTCTCGATTGCCTGTGTCTTGTCATTCTCATTATCCACTCTACGAAATTTTGTCCCGTCAGAAAGAATGGCATACATCTTACTGATGTAGTCCGATCTGTCCATCAGAACAATCCCGGCTCCTTTATCCGGCCTAGACAACAGTATCTTATCGTTTCGCTTGAGTTCTTTAAGGGCGTCTAGATGTTCCTGCTTCAATAGATGCTTGGTACACGGTTTATAAGTTAGGTACTCGTAACATGCGTTAACCAGCGTTGATTTATACTGCTCGGCTGCTAAGGCTGAGGACGGCGAAAGTGTAGCTACTTGGGAATAGAGATTCTCAAATTGGACCTCTAAATCTAGCTGTTTAACATAGTTTCGTGGACAACAGAATTTCGGGCCGAGTGAAAGAGCTTCAAGTAAAACCTTGTCTAATGGTACTGAGGAGAAATTGTGAACGTATCTCTCAGGGTCAGGAGGAAATAAGTTCTGTGGCTTACCCACATTGAGTTGTTTCTGCAGTGAGGATAGTCGTACTTCCACTTGTCGTGCCACAATTCTCTGAACGTATGATTCGAACGTCTGGTATTCCTCAGCAGCTAGATTCTCTAGCGCGACAGAGAAAACGCAACGTTTAAGCTCGAGTTCGTTAATCCGAGACACAATCGTATCACGTTCATTCAACGTGTGGCGTTTCAAAGCTGTATTAGTTGGATTAATTCCATTACGTCTGAGAATTTTCCAAAAGTGCTTAGGGTATTCACAACGTAAAATGCACTCGTCAAAAAATTGCACTGACGCTCTCGCTACCGCAAGCTTCGTGCTGAACTTAACATACTGGTTAAGTTCTCTAAACACAGTGGGATCCTTGGACTGTTTCAATTGAGAAATAATTCCCGGGGATGACATCAGAAACAGAAAGTAGCGAACAAGCTTGTTTTCATGGCTTCATCATCAGGCTAATACAACCACAATAAAGCAAGTTAGAATAGACACGATGGTTTAAATTGAGTCACTGAAACAGAGTAACTAATCGATAAGTCTACGTGTTTGGTCTGATTGGTCAAGTGAATTGGCGTGACTGCCATTGTTAGTCGCGTTGATCTCAGGCCAAGGCAAGGCTAAAGTGTGGACGAGCTTTTTCTGTGCACATAGGTCCGGGTTATGGAGCCGAATTGCGATCGCCTCTGCTGTCGACAGCAGGCGACATCTGACTGCCCGTGTGAAACGTCCAGGGACACAGTAAATCGGTGTGAATGCGTCACGCGAATCGATTTGATGGTCGGAGTCAACTAGGTGCGACAACACTGCACTCGTTATATTCTTCCTCACGCCGCTGTAGAGCCAAGCTGGGCAATGCTCTCGAGCCCTAACGGACAGTCGCCTGGTCGTTTTCCCGATATACCTTGCTCGACACGAGCAAGAGAAATTGTACACACAAAAGGAGGTCTGCGACCGAGGTATCCTGTCTTTAAGTTGTTGGCACACGAGCGGTGTTGAAGTGAAGCTTACGCGGAGATTAGCGGCAAAATACGTTCTTTCTGTTGCTAAGGAAAGTCTTCGGGTGGTCCGTTCCGCTATCGCGTCACCCTTAAATGGCAACGATAAGTATACCATCCGCTTCTCCACTGAAACGGGTTTGGGCTTTTGTACTCGTGGTTCCATGTGCCTCTGGATGAATTTCTCAGGGTACCCATTGCGCTCGAGTACGTTTCGTATAAAACTCAGCTCATCTGAAAGCGTATCATCTGTACATATTCTCCTCGCTCTCTCCGTTAGGCAACGGACGAGGTTCCTTTTTTGACTTATCGGAACAAAGCTAGCGAAATGGATGTACTGCCCATTCCAGGTTGCTTTTCTGTGCACCCTCCTTCGCATTGACCCATCTGATGCCCTTTTGATTTGGACATCTAAAAATGCCAACGTGTCATTACGTTCTAGCTCGATAGTGAAAGTTATATTGCTATGTGCAGTGTTAAACTGGGCCAATAGGTCATCGACGCACATTCCATTATTCGCGATACAAAATATGTCGTCTACGTATCGACCGTAATAAACCAAGCTGTTGATGGATTCGTTCAGCTGGTTGCACTCCAATTTGCTCATGAAGACGTCCGCGAGCAACGGTCCTAATGGTGAACCCATTGCCACCCCGTCTATTTGTCGATATAGCGTTCCATTAAACTGAAACTGAATGTTTCGTGTGCACATGAGTAGCAGTTGTCTCAGCCGGTCTAGTGGGATACCAACATTGATGTTGCGCAGCAGGATGAACTCGCACAGATAATCTACGGTCTCCTCCAAGGGAACATTGGTAAAAAGAGACACCACATCTAAGGAGAACATCTGTCGCCCAGCTAGCTCAATTTGTCTCACTGAGTCAAGAAAATCGAAGGTATCTTTGAGACTGTATCTAGCTATGGCTTTCCTGACTGGTTCCAACCGTTTGACGAGCCACTTGGCAGTTGAATGGTACGGTGAGTTACACATATCCAGTATCGGCCTTAGTGGTAGCCCTTCCTTGTGTACTTTGGGCAGGCCATACAATCTTGGAATCACTGTCCCACTCGGTCTGGTGTATTCAAATATATCTGAGTCGATTACATTCTCCTGCTTTAAGCAACGCAGGAGTTTCGTTATGGATCTCTCGATTGCCTGTGTCTTGTCATTCTCATTATCCACTCTACGAAATTTTGTCCCGTCAGAAAGAATGGCATACATCTTACTGATGTAGTCCGATCTGTCCATCAGAACAATCCCGGCTCCTTTATCCGGCCTAGACAACAGTATCTTATCGTTTCGCTTGAGTTCTTTAAGGGCGTCTAGATGTTCCTGCTTCAATAGATGCTTGGTACATGGTTTATAAGTTAGGTACTCGTAACATGCGTTAACCAGCGTTGATTTATACTGCTCGGCTGCTAAGGCTGAGGACGGCGAAAGTGTAGCTACTTGGGAATAGAGATTCTCAAATTGGACCTCTAAATCTAGCTGTTTAACATAGTTTCGTGGACAACAGAATTTCGGGCCGAGTGAAAGAGCTTCAAGTAAAACCTTGTCTAATGGTACTGAGGAGAAATTGTGAACGTATCTCTTAGGGTCAGGAGGAAATAACTTCTGTGGCTTACCCACATTGAGTTGTTTCTGCAGTGAGGATAGTCGTACTTCCACTTGTCGTGCCACAATTCTCTGAACGTATGATTCGAACGTCTGGTATTCCTCAGCAGCTAGATTCTCTAGCGCGACAGAGAAAACGCAACGTTTAAGCTCGAGTTCGTTAATCCGAGACACAATCGTATCACGTTCATTCAACGTGTGGCGTTTCAAAGCTGTATTAGTTGGATTAATTCCATTACGTCTGAGAATTTTCCAAAAGTGCTTAGGGTATTCACAACGTAAAATGCACTCGTCAAAAAATTGCACTGACGCTCTCGCTACCGCAAGCTTCGTGCTGAACTTAACATACTGGTTAAGTTCTCTAAACACAGTGGGATCCTTGGACTGTTTCAATTTATTATTAGGGGGTTCTCTGACATTGTCTCAACGTTGAATGCAATGCTCCAATAAATCAGTCTTTCGAATGGTCCCCACACTTTCTGAAGACGTTCGATCAGTTACGGGAGTCCATTTGTACCACACCCTTGTTGGTATTTCCGAATTTACTGTCATCAGCAGAAGAGTTCATCCTAGACACGGACGCAAGTGACTATGCGATCGAGGCCGTGTGATCACACTAGGGACCTGACGGAGTGACAGTCTGAGCCATACTTCGAGAGAAAGATTTATTAAACGATTAGAAAAGAAATCTACGCGTTACTTATTTTTAGAAGACAAAACCAACATTACCCACTGGGGAAAACGTTTTAAGTACAGACGGATAACCAGCCACTTCGGTGGTTACAAGACGTCGAGGATCCGGAGGGGCAGATCGCCCGGTGGCATGGACAGCTCCGGGAATATGATTTTGAATGTCACCACCGACCAGACAAGCAACAAGCTGATGCGGACGCGCTTTCAATAATTCCACCCCGTGATCACGGATATGGTCCTTCCTTCACTACATAACACGTAGCGCTATTTAATCCCCAAAGAACTGAGTATGAGTTGTCAAGCGACGCAAGCATCAGATCCAGATTTATCATTCATTTACGACAGGCGACGTCTGGTACGCGAGAAACCAAATACGCAAAGCGATGGAGCGAAGAAGTTATGAATCTCGATGTTTATCGGTTGTGTGGGATAAGTTCCTCATCGAAAGGGACGTGTCGTTTTCGATTTCCGCCCAACATACGTTAGGAGAATTGCAGTCCCTCAGGCATTCGTTACTGAAGTACCATCGGAACTGCATCGATAGCTTGGACATGTTAGGGTCTGGATGTTCTTTCTTGATTATCAACGCCTTGTCGGGTACCACGAGCGTTATTGTATCGGTCACACTGCAAAACTGCAAATCTAAAGGATTCGTTGATGTTGCTGGCGAATAACGGTTGCAAACTGGCGCGAAACTTCAACCAGTTATCGAATATGACTTGTAACATTCCTTCAGAATGCAACCTCAGTGTCATTAATTTTTTACTACACCATTTGTAATTATGTGATGAAGGAATTCTCGTCAGCGATTAAGCGATAACATCGTACGAAGAGAAGGCTTCAACGATGCAAAGGCATTGCACGCGCTTCAGTGTCCACTTTGTGCTCAGGAAAATCCGGAGGCTCTACGAACACCAGGAACCAATATTGTCTTGCTGCTGGTTATTGGAGGGCACCTTGGCTGTCCGCTTTCTGTGGGCAACCTATCCCATCAAAATCAGGTAGGATGCGCACCTTCCTCGATGGGTTACTTAGATCAACTGCGGAGTGAGGGTCAAACTCTGTCCCATCTACTGAGTTTAGCTTTGCAAGATGTTAAACTCGTGGTTTAACATAGTGAACTGAATATGGGCGACGCGCTACACGTTTCAGTACTTGCGCTGCGCAATAATACGAAGCACACTGATCGCGATCATGTCGTAACTTGTCTTTTAAAGGAACTTTAGTGCACAAGATAGTCAATACATTGTTGTTCTGTCTAACAAAGTTAGGTCTGAGAGCTGTTGTTGATTTTTAATAGGCAACACTGGAGAGGACCGTGAAAGCAATGTCGTACCACTTGTGTTCGGTATAGCAGTTGGACTTACATGTGTCGCATCCCGCGTTTTTATCGAGGCGACCGATGCGTAGGTTAAAGATTGTTCCTCTCTTCTTGATTACCTCCGGTATTGATCTGTCGCTGTCACAATCAAATTTTAGTTATAGTCTCCGTGAATATGGTACAAGCAGTCACGTCTAATGGGACTTGTTCGATTTTGGGGTAATAGGTTTCAAGGTGATTGGCATAACCACCATGGGGTGCTTGTCAAGACAGAGTTTATTTTGTGACTTAGGGACGAGGCTGTGAGGGTGGGTTGCTTTGCAACAGGATCGGTTTCCTCCGATTTCAGTGACAAATCACTATGACATTTCATCTGGTCAATTACTACTGTTAGTTATTCACATATTTGCATGAACATATTTAAGTAATTGGCAACTGTAATAACTCTCTGTATCCGTAACAGCTGGGGCTCTTCACTCACAGAGTTGAGCGACCTTGCTACTAGTTGAGTTAGTCAGCGCACTTGATGCAGATTGCAATGACGCAGTAAGAGCTAGTCAGTCAATTTTCAACTACTGGGCATAATCCTCGACGACGACCGTTGCTGCAGCTGAGCGCTGCACGTGTGCGGTAAAGTGGGACAGAGGAGGAGTGGTTCACAATTTGCGTATCACGGCCGCGCGCTTGTCCTCGTTTATCCTAGACGTGTTCGTCATCGGAAGGACGCACACGCACATGTGGTTGAGCTACGTTGTCCATCAACACTGGCTCGGGTGGCGTTAGGCATACTGACATGCAAAGATAAATTGCGTATTGCCCGCCTGAAATCCCCGGTGTTTTCATGTGGGCAACATGTAATTTCTGTTTGCTTCAGCTGCGGTCTTCGTGATCGAAAAACCAAGGTTGTCTGGAAGACAACTTGGGCCTCATTAATTTGCCTTCACTTTTCATCCAGGCAGCATGCGCAAATTGCGACACGGCTGTCCACAAATACCATGACGCCATACATCTGTAAGTTAACCATTAGTTGTACATACGTCGTCATTTATTGAGGAAGGATGAGAAACCAAAATCTACTCCAATTGTGTAGTATGGAATGAAGTACAACAGTGTCATTAGAAGGAATGGAAAGGTATTTATATTTTCCGATACTGTTCCTTATCCATTTTGGTTGAGTCATGGCGTGTTTGCATTGTCGGACGTGTAAGCCTTCCGATGGTATGAACTTGTGAGAACGTGATTGACAATGCAAGAATGACTGTACACCTACCTCTGCTTGTCTTATGCACATTACAAATGACAGTGTGCCAACAACCAGAACCACGTTGTTTGGATGCTTCCTAGTAATGACCACAAGGTTGCGCATAAATGAACTCGCGGTGTCAATTGTTAACGTAATGAAGATTGATTGGACGTCATCCAGCAGAGTACCCGAGACCTGAAATGAACACCGTTTCATGACATGTCGGAAAATCTGTGATGTTGGCAGTTGTGCCCTCGTACCGTTCGCCGCAAATGTCCGAGAAATACTTAGAATGAAAGCGGAGAAGTTGCCAGGGGATTCAACCGACGAACATACTGGCATATGTGTAACAGACAGTGCACCTACAAGCTGTTGTTCAATGTATATAGCGCCTATCTCTCGAATTACATTTTTCAACCTGGATTCCACATGCAACAGATAATAAGAGCAGCATTTTCAAAATTAATACGTAAGCCGCAGATAGCTCGACGGAATTCTATGCTGATTATGTTGAAGAATATCTTTCATAACCACTGGACCCAGATACAGCAAAATCTGACGGATCTCCTTGGCTTTCCTTCTGTCATCCACCACCAAACTTGGACATTTTCGTGTGAGTTCGCTTGTAAGGCACTCAGTCACTCTTTCAAGGCGGTTGTTCACATCACTGATGCAGTGGAAGAAAAACACACTCCTCGTGCTATAGGCCCATTGCGCCACAGATGGAGCAACGGTTTCATCATGCCGAGGTAAGGCTGGTGCATGTAATCCAACGAGAAGTACTCATTCATGTCCACGCGGTGTCTCGAAGGCTGAACAACTAACTTAGTGTTCCTCCTGGCGCCTTGACCGAAAGTCCGTGTCGGTCCGGGGTATAGCGTCCTTAGACTGCGAAAACTTCATGCACCCGCCAAGCAAATACCTACTCAAGTACATGGAGCATAGAACTTATCAAAAGTGGAACACTTTTCGCAGGTACAAAATCCTGAGTGTTGCCTTATTTAACGAAGGTATGCTCTTGCAGGTGCATTCGCTACAACACATTGCAAAATAACCTTGATGGACTTACTGCCTTCAGTTATTCGGAAGTCAAGTTCCATCGCTTGGCGCATGTTACGAATTGTTGGTGCCAGCAATCGTTTCACATCTGAAGTTTTGTTATTTACACTGTAATGTCTGACAAGAAAATCTTGTAAACAGGGCTCTGGCAGTTTCGCAAGTACAGACCATATTTGTTGACGTGGACTGCGGGACAAGGACATCCAGTCCATGTGGATTGTTAAATTTAGACTGGAAGCGCCAATTGCAACTGATCATAACATAGGCGGCGATCAGTATTACTCGCACTATCTCCTTCGGGTATCCCGCCGTCATTAGCTGCAATTGTGCCTTCTAAGCGGTGCATGGATTTTGGAAAATGGCACACGTCTCGCATGTTTAGCAGAAGTTAAATACATATCTTCTCTGATATAACCCCTTCAGAATCGTCGGCGCACGGCTGCATCAAGTTTATTGACCCCAACATGTCCAAGCTGTCGATGCAGTTCCGATAGTACTTCAGTAACGAATGCCTGAGGGACTGCAATTCTCCTAATGTATGTTGGGCAGAAATCGAAAACGAACACGTCCCTTTCGATGAGGAACTTATCCCACACAACCGATAAATATCGAGATTCATAACTTCTTCGCTCCATAACTTTGGGTATTTGGTCTCTCGCCTACCAGACGTCGCCTGTCGTAAATGAATGATAAATCTGGATCTGATGCTTGCGTCGCTTGACAAACCATACTCAGTTCTTTGGGTATTGAATAGCGCTAGGTGTTGTGTAGTGCAGGAAGGACCATATCCGTGATCACGGGGTGGAATTATTGAAAGCGCGTCCGCATCAGCTTGATGCTTGTCTGGTCGGTGGTGACATTCAAAATCATATTCCCGGAGCTGTCCATGCCATCGGGCGATCTGCCCCTCAGGATCCTCGACATCCTGTAACCACCGAAGTGGCTGGTTATCCGTCTGTACTTAAAACGTTTTCCCCAGTGGGTAATGTTGGTTTTGTCTTTTAAAAATAAGTAACGCGTAGATTTCTTTTCTAATCGTTTAATAAATCTTTCTCTCCAAGTATGGCTCAGACTGTCAC